TATGTATATGGCAGGGATGGTAGAGATACTATGTATATGGCAGGGATGGTAGAGAGACTATGTATATGGCAGGGATGGTAGAGATACTATGTATATGGCAGGGATGGTAGAGATACTATGTATATGGCAGGGATGGTAGAGATACTATGTATATGGCAGGGATGGTAGAGAGACTATGTATATGGCAGGGATGGTAGAGAGACTATGTATATGGCAGGGATGGTAGAGATACTATGTATATGGCAGGGATGGTAGAGATACTATGTATATGGCAGGGATGGTAGAGAGACTATGTATATGGCAGGGATGGGAGAGAGACTATGTATATGGCAGGGATGGGAGAGAGACTATGTAAGAGACTAAGAAACATCTTGAACAAGTCGCTGGAAACAAGACAGCCGCCAGGGAAAAAACTGAACACTTGCTTATTATAATCTTATGGAAAAGCACTAAACCCAAGGGCTCATACAGCGTCTATGGAATGGGAAGCAATCATGTTCGATCCAAGGAAGGGAAGGATAAACCCACTTCTTGGCATTATGGCCATCCTCCCTCCCCTCCCACTTAAGACATGGATAACTGATCATGTAATCCTGAGTTTGATAAATAAATAAAAAAAAGGTGAGCTTGAGGCCGTACCAGTCAGTGTCTCAGGTAAACTGACCTTACTAGATAATGATCAATGCTTTAAGGACCAGGTTAGTAATCCACAAGGGAAAGCAGTTGGAAAAAAGCTCGTATTCCTTGAGAAAAAATGCGACTTATCCTAAGTGAATTAAAGGATAAGAAGATTAATACGGGAAAGAAATGGATGGACGGAAGGGATACTCTTTAACTGTTAGAATGTCTTTGGAGATTGATCTAAACACAGGACAACCGGAAACTGGAAGAGTACTCCACTAGTTAAGAGAATACAAAGAGCAGTCACAGTGACAGAGGGGCCAGTATGGAGAAACATAACAAGTGGAGTACCATAAGGCTAAGTTCTGGTGCCCATGTTATTCTTAATATATCTAAAATAATCCACTTGGTGATACAGATTAATATATGCCAGTGTTTTCCAATCCAATGAAGTAAAATTCTTAAGGACAACAGAGGTCAACCACTTGCTGCAAGAATGATTTGCAGATTCCTATGCAAGATTATGAAGATGGGATCACGAAACAGGGTGCCACCTGAGGAGGAGGCAACTTATAGAATCAGAAACAGTACACGAAGGTAGTGGTAAGAAAAATTAAGTTCCATGGGTATGAAGCTTGTAAAGTTACATTATTGTGAGGTTTGGAGAAAGTGACATTAAGAAGTTTGTATTTTGTTAAGCCCCAGTAAACATTAAAAATTCTCTACAAAAATCCTGTTTAGAAAATATTAAGTCCCGTGCACCGTGGCCTGGTGGCAAACGCTCTCGCTTCACATGGTGAGGGTCCGGGTTCGATTTCCGGCGAAGGGGTGGAAATATCGGACGTGTTTACTTACACCGGTTATGCTCACCCATCACTAAAATGGGTACCTGGGTGTTAGTCGACTAGTGTGGGTCGCATCCTGGGACAAAACTGACCTAATTTGCCCGAAATGCCCTGTATAACAAGGGACTTTCTATATAGTAGTATGTCATTGATGTCAGCTATGGTCTGTATACCTTGTACATGTACTTGTAATAAATAAAGATATTATTATTATTATTATTATTATTATTATTATTATTATTATTATTATTATTATTATTATTATATTATATTATCATCCTCCCAAGTAATCCCATTTGTCTTAATTGATAAACTTTCGCCTCTTCCAGCTCAACGTTCATCCCGAGTTACAGTTTCATCTCAACTCTCGGAACAATAACAGCCTCCGTCTCGACATTCCACACACAAACTTAACTTCAGGCTTTCGTATATGTCACAAATAGATGAATAAGAGACATATGCAACAGTTGGGTATCTTTATTGTTGAGATAAAGATACAGAGGCCAACTGTGTAGGCGAAATATTTCAACAATACAAGATGCCCAGCTGTTGTAAATATGTCTTATTTATCAACTTGTCTGTATTTTATACCATTTTCAACACATCGTAAGTTCTCGAAACATGCGATCATGAAGCCCTAAATCTCAAATTCAGGAGTTATCACTGACCTAACTCTACCTGGTTTGCTAAGGAAATAAACTACAAATTTGTTCTAGGTAAGATAGCACACCATAATTGGAAAAATTGGTTGTTTACATTACAACACGAACTTGACAAAACAAAACAGGTTGAAACCAACATCAAGTGCCGTAGTTGAAGTATATCGTAGCTGTCAGGTGCTTAATAACACTCTCGGCTAAGAAACTTTTATTATCACGATCTTTCACTAACATGAACCTTCATCATGCACGTAAAATATAAAAACCGGAGACAGATATATATACTGTGTTGAGAAATGGGGAGGTAGGAGGAAAGTGAGAAATCATATCGGGAGTGAGGTGATCTGTTAGCTCAGCGGGGCGAGGGAAGAGGTCTGATCGGGTGGAGACAAGATCTATGGCAATGGAGATCAGGTAACGTTTGGTGTGGTGTGAATCCCAGTCAGATCCTGGTAATGTGGGCTTTCTAGTGTCATACCAGAATAGTTTTAGCTATGGGCTTAGCTTAAATGTACTTGTCTTTGTTCTGTTAGGTGTTAAAAGAGATGTGAAGCTTGTCAGTCTTTAGTCGCAACTTTATTTACTTAAGATCCATTGATCAAATAATCGTCTTCCACAATACCACCTTCACTGATACTAAACTCTTCCTGCCCACACAAGATGTCACTGATCTCGTTGAAATTTGTATAACTTTCAGCGTGTTTTTATAAGATGAGAGATTCTACACGCAGAAGATTGGGATGGCCATGGGCTTTCCTCTAAGTGTGGTCCTGGCCAATCTTTACCTTCAGTATCTAGAGAGGTACTGGTGTACTAACATCATTCCCAGCCTCATTATGTGGCTTAGATACCGCATTGAGATCTTGGTCATAGTACCCAGACATTTCAACCTTTCTAGTTTTGGAGAACAGCTCAACCAAGTGGAACCATCTATATAGTTCACCTTGGGAGAGGTTATGCCTCTCTACCTTTTCTTGACGTCCTACTAAGAATAATGACATCTTCAAGAGGCCATCATAGACGATCTGATCCACTATTTCTCTCCCCATGACCTCAGAACATGACCTGTTATCAAAACTTCAGAACATGATTTGTCGTGCCCTCAGAACATGACCTCCGAACAGAGATATGATAATAGGTGTCTTTCTACTCACCCTCGAAATCTGTAGCAGTCAGCACCTACTTAAAGACCAAGAATACAATAGAAAGAACTTTTTCCAAATAAAAGTTTCTTAAACGCATTAAAACTCTTGCAAAACCAAAATCCTTAGCGTATTTTCAAATCCCAGAAAGAATACTACCACTGACCGCAGTCTGATTCTAACAACAGAACAGTGTCTTCCATTACATAAAACTGACACTGGCATAGCAGCATTTACTACAAAAATTGTTAAAGCAATCATCGGGACTCCCCACCCCGCTAAGAACACATTCACCGTAAGGACATACTATGTTCCATATGGGGGATATGATTGCGGGTACACATGAGAAACGTCAAGGAACCTGGATACCTGACTAAGAATACAGTTAGAGGAGAAACATCAAGGAACCTGGATACCAAAGAATACAGATAGAGGAGAAACATCAGGTAACCTCAATACCTAAGTATACAGATAGGGGAGAAACATCAAGGAAATTGTATGCCTGACTTTAAGAAAACAGATAAGCCAGTAGGATGAGCGACACACGGAATGCGTGTGTGGTTCATAAACACAAACACACACGCACATCTCGTAAACCTCAAACAGCAACAGAGAGAGGAGGTTATATATCTTGAATCACCATTACACAGAACAGAGGCTAGTATATTTTAGCTTAGCCTATCACTAAATTTATTCTGGAACACACACACACACACACACACACACACACACACACACACACACACACACACACAAATGACTAGAACCGAACCTAACCTTACCACACACCCAACCTTACCTTACCTGACCTTGTAGATCGAAACACTTGTGCAACATTTGGGAATTTTTCATTACGGAGACGTTTCGCCTAGCAATGGCTTCTTCAGTCCTTGTTTACCTACACCTGACGAGACCACTCGCCTCAACCTCATCTGAGGCATCCCCCATACCTACACCGGATGCGACATCTCATCTACCTCTGATCTCAACCTTGCCAAGCATCTTAATCCACCACTTCTCAGTACTGTATATATATATTGCTTGATATAGAGAGGGGAGAGAAGGGAAGCAATAGTCCCCCCCTCGTCTATGTATACTGGCTCACTCATTCTCTTCTGCCAGCGCGACTTATGAATGGTCCAACTCGGACCGAAACGTCGTAATATACTTTTCTCTCTCATATGTCGCTTGTTTTGACATTTTATACACTTTGATAAAGCCTTTCGTAGATAGGACCTCGTATTAATGAAGATTTCGTTTTGCGTTGTGTCTTGTCAGGCAGTGTATACATGATAAATCAAACCTTTTATTTACGGTTTTCCATATACCCGACGAAGATGGAAGGGAGAGAGGGAGGAGATAAAGCATAACATATCTAAACGCAAGAGTAGTAATGAGGTCTTACTATTATTATAATCAAAAGGAAACGCTAAACCACAAGGGCTATACAGCAATGAGCTCTTACACTTCTAGAGACCAGTAACATAGTGTACATATCTAGCAAATACTGCCTCTGACACCTCAGTGAAGGAAGCTGGAAGGTAAGGCACACGGGTTGACTAAGGTAATTCTCACTGTAAACACTAGTTAAGACGTGTACCTGCAGGGAACTGGGAGGGTTGATGAAAAAAATAACTTAATCATTAACTTAATAGCAAACTTAATCGACAACTTAAGTGATTAAAGTACAGAAACTGAAGACAAGTTTTGGCCCCTCGCTCTCTCTGGCTTACCTGTCGTAGAACTGCTCCCTGTAAAACGAAAGAAAACAAACTTAGTAACAGGGTATAAATCATAAAAAAAAATTATCGTTGACAACACAAACCAAGAGCAGAAGGCAGACCTGGGAGCCACTGGCTCATCACGCATGAGGGAAGCACTGTGTAACCCACAATCGCAAAATCCCGGGTTCGATTCCCTGGCATGGGAAAAACAACAACATATGGGCAAGTTTCCTCACAAAACCCCTGCTGCCCCTGCCCCCATAGCAATAAAATTAGGTACCTGTGTGTTAGGCAACTGTTATGGGTCGCATTCAGGGGACCCTGAATGCCTTGTCCTGCGTAGGGAAACTCCAGTACCTACTGGAAGTATTCAGACATTAGGTAAAAGGTAACAGTGCACCTAATGAGGCTAATTAAGAAAATCACACATGTAAGAGCTACAAGGATGTTCTGAGTACAAAAGATTTCTACGTCCATAGTCATGACTACAAGAGTGTGCTAAGGATCAGTGATGCTCACTATCCTCGTCATCTACTGCAGTCACCCACATCCATCTATGGATTCGCGTATCATATTGATGACAATAGTGAGCTGACACGCTTGATAAAACAAGCTTTCACTGAGATACATTTCGGTTTGCGTGGAGCTTTATCGAGCCATTCTTGACACTACGACTTGCTAAAGCTCTGTGTAGAGCTTTATCAAGCCAAGTCATATGACTTTATCAAGCCATACGATTTACTAAACGTCTGTGTAGAGCTTTATCAAACTATACTGAAGACTTCAATACGTACTGTGAAGAGCCTTTTATCGAGACTTACATGACACTGTGACATGATAAATGTCTACACAGAGCCAAACGCTGTCTTGACAAAGACGTGATCTGTAACATGGGTTGTCTAAACATTGTCTACACACTGTCTACACATTGTCTACAAATACATCTAGCTGAGGTCAGCAATTCTTGCCTGACACCATCAATTTGCTACTCGTCAGATCTACTCCAGTTCTTACAGTGTGTCGATCAGGTGACTACTGTCAAAATTTAAAACACAATACAGTGAGGGTTTAACGCAGCTGTGATAAAATTAACATTTAGAAATTTAGAAGAGCAACTTTTATTAGAAGAGGAGAATAAAATTTAGAACAAGCACGGATTTGTTTTAACAGCTTTCTAATTATCAAATGTATATATAACATCTTAGAATAATTTGAAAACGCCTTAAAACACCTTAAATAATTTGAAAACGCTTTAAAACACCTTAAATACTTTGAAAAGCCTTAAAACACCTTAAATACTTTGAAAACGCTTTAAAACACCTTAAATACTTTGAAAAGCCTTAAAACACCTTAAATAATTTGAAAACGCTTTAAAACACCTTAAATACTTTGAAAAGCCTTAAAACACCTTAAATACTTTGAAAACGCCTTAAAACACCTTAAATACTTTGAAAACGCCTTAAAACACCTTAAATACTTTGAAAAGCCTTAAAACACCTTAAATACTTTGAAAACGCCTTAGAACACCTTAAATATTTTGAAAACTCCTTAAAACACCTTAAATACTTTGAAAATGCCTTAAAATCTTAAAAGACTGTGACAACGCCTTAAAACAGCTTAAAATAAAAGTCCTAAAACATCTTAAAATGCTTTGAAAATGCCTTAAAACATATAAACACCTTTAAGAGAATTTTAAAAACAGCATTAAAATTTTGTATTTTAAATCACGTTATAAACACCCTAAAACACCTTAAAAATAACTTAAAACTCCCTAAAAACAATTACATATATTACTTTAAAAGGTTAAAAGGCCTGATGATGCAACACTTGAGTATCTTTAATGTGGAAACGTTTCGCCACACAGTGGCTTCATCAGTCCATACAAAGGAGAATCGTGAAGAACAGGAGGAGTTTGAGGTAATCAGTCTTTTGAGGGACTGATTACCTCAAACTCCTCCTGTTCTTCACCATTCTCCTTTGTATGGACTGATGAAGCCACTGTGTGGCGAAACGTTTCCTCGTTAAAGATACCCAAGTGTCAACTTTATCTACATGTTGAAGTATTCCTTGATACCGATGAAAGGCTCTTGATCCAAGTAATCGGAGCTACCCCATCATTTTCCTCGGATCAAACCTCTCACTTCCCAAGGCGCCGTACGGCCCCTACGAGATTATCATTTCCGAGAAGTTAAGCTCAACAGAACAAAAAAATTCGACCCACTACCCGAAGGACCCGGGTTCAATCTTGGGCGAGTCGAAGCGCTTGAGCAGGTGTCTCTCTCCACACTAGCTGCACCTGTTCACCTAACAGTAAACAGACTCCTGAGTGCTAGTCTACTGGTGCAGGTCGCAGCCTGGGTAACAGAGGCTAGTGATTCCAAACGAAGTAATCCGCAATGTTTATCTCTTTGGTTATCCTGGGTTTGGTTATCATGGGTTTGGTTAACCTGGGTTTGGTTATCCTGGGTTTGGTTATCATGGGTTTGGTTATCCTGGGTTTGATTATCATGGGTTTGGTCATCCTGGGTTTAGTTATCCTGGGTTTGGTTATCCTGGGTTTGGTTATCCTGGGTTTGGTCATTCTGGATTTGGTCACCCTGGGTTTGGTTATCCTGGGTTTGGTTATCCTGAGTTTGGTTATCCTGGGTTTGGTCATCGTGGGTTTGGTCATCGTGGGTTTGGTCATTGTGGGTTTGGTCATCGTGGGTTGGTCATCCTTCGTTTGGTTATCCTGGGTTTGGTTATCCTGGGTTTGGTTATCATGGGTTTGGTTATCCTGGGTTTGGTTATCATGGGTTTGGTCATCCTGGGTTTAGTTATCCTGGGTTTGGTTATCATGGGTTTGGTCATCCTGGGTTTAGTTATCTTGTGTTTGGTCATCCTGGGTTTAGTTATCCTGTGTTTGGTTATCCTGGGTTTGTTTATCCTGGGTTTGGTTATCCTGGGTTTGGTCATCCTGGGTTTGGTTATCGTGGGTTTGGTCATCGTGGGTTTGGTCATCGTGGGTTTGGTCATCGTGGGTTTGGTCATCGTGGGTTTGGTCATCGTGGGTTGGTCATCTTTCATTTGGTTATCCTGGGTTTGGTTATCCTGGGTTAATTATATTCCGGGATAATTAACCCAGGATAAACCAAAATAAAGTATCTATGTTAATAAGACAATACACCGTTTATGACACTTTATCGAGACATCATTTCGCCCACCGGGTATATAATATTTAAATACGAAAAAAAAAAACTTGAACCTCAAAATTTCATAAAATCTCTTAGACAAAAAAAAAATCAATTGTGTTTAAGGATCGTGTCGAGATCTTGATCAGCTTTGATCAGTTGTTGCTGTCTCGTCCAGGGGGCAGGAGAGGAACTCTCAAAAACTTAAAAAAAAGGGGGTTAAATTGTTCCCTAAACGACCACCAGAGGGACGAATTGCCCAATTACAAAAGAGAGCTTCGATTTATGAAGATAAAGCAGTCAATGCAAGGCTTCCCATGACATAAAACCATAAGAAAGAAGGAGCACTTCAGCAGGCCAACTGCCCCAAGCTAGTTAGGTTCAACTCACACCCATCCACGCCCAATCATGTATTTGCCTAACCTATTTTTAAAAGTACGAAAGGTCTTGAAGCCTGGCGGAGGTGTCCTTGTCGGAGGGATCCCTCTGACGGGGATACCTAGTGGTTAGAAGAGAAATATACACTGAGGAGGAAAGTGTGAATAAGAAGTAATAATGAAAATCTGAAGGATAAGGGGAAGGGAGAAGACAAGGAGAAGCACAAAGGAAGAAGAAAGGAGCGAAGGTGATTGGAGAAGGAAGATGATTTATTTTTGTGAAGAGGTAAGCGAAAAATGACTAAGAGAATTAGAGGCGCATGAAGAGGATTGGGAAAAGGACCGAAACCGAGTTAAAGAGTCGATTGAAGCAGATTGGGGTAGCATTGGAGGAGGATCAGAAGAGGGGAATCGGAGGTTGGAAGAGGGAGGACTGGATGAGGGCTGGGAGAGGTGGTTCAGATTATTGGAGGCGTTTGGGTGAAGGTTTAGTAGAGGGTATAAGAGGGTCACCCATCACCCGTGTTTACCACAGCTCTTCCTTCATGCGATATTACCACTACGTTAGTAGCTACTCTCCTCTCTCTCTCCCTGTCTCTTTCTCTTACATCATATCTCTCTCTCCCTGTCTTCCCCCCTCTCTCTCTTACCCCTCTCCCTCTATTATCATCTCTCTCTTGACGTCTCCCAGCATCCCTATCTTTAATCTTCAGTGTCTCCGTCTTTTCCCCTCTCGTGACGTCTCTTCCATCTCTAAGCTCCCCTTCATTCTCTCACGAGGAGACAGAAGACAGTAGGAGAGAAAGAGAGAGAAAGAGAAAGAGAGAGAGAGAAAGAGAGAGAGAGAGAGAGAGAGAGAGAGAGAGAGAGAGAGAGAGAGAGAGAAGGCAGTGGGAAGGAGATTCTGGTGGTGGTGGCGTCAAGTGTGATGGAGGGAAGGGTAAATACTGTTAAGTATAGAGAAGCAGCAAGATGGAAGAGGAGGGCAGAGGGCAGAGGATGAATGGAAGCAAGGGAGGAGGTTAAGGTAGGAGTACATGCAAGGAGGAAGGAGTGCTGAAAATCAGGAAGGAGGATAGGGAAGTAGGAAGCAGGGAGGAGAGTAGGGAAGTAGGAAGCAGGGAAGAGAGTAGGGAAGTAGGAAGCAGGGAGGAAAGTAGGGAAGTAGGAAGCAGCGAGGAGAGTAGGGAAGTAGGAAACAGGGAGGAAAGTAGGGAAGTAGGAAGCAGCGAGGAGAGTAGGGAAGTAGAAAGCAGGGAAGAGAGTAGGGAAGTAGGAAGCAGGGAAGAGAGTAGGGAAGTAGGAAGCGGGGAGGAAAGTAGGGAAGTAGGAAGCAGCGAGGAGAGTAGGGAAGTAGGAAGCAGGGAAGAGAGTAGGGAAGTAGGAAGCAGGGAAGAGAGTAGGGAAGTAGGAAGCAGAGAGGAGAGTAGGGAAGTAGGAAGCTGGGAGGAGAATAGGGAAGTAGGAAGCAGGGAGGAGA